TGATCACTTGGATTTGTCTTTATTTTGCGGGGGAGGGATAATTGGGGGAGGGTTGTTGTTTTACTGTGTTTTTTTTTTTTTTAAGATTTTACTTATTTATATGATGGACAGAGATCACAAGTAGGCAGAGGCAGGCAGAGAGAGAGGGGGGAAAGCAGACTCCGTGTTGAGCAGAGAGCCCGATGCGGGGCTTGATCCCAGGACCCTGAGATCATGACCCAAGCCAAAGGCAGAGGCTTAACTCACTGAGCCACCCAGACGCCCCTACTGTGCTTTGTTTTTTAATGGAAAAAAAAATCTTCTATGAGGTGAGGGTGAAAAAGAGGAGTCCTGGTGGTCTCACTTGGTGCTCCTGGGGAAATACAGAGAGGTGAAAGACACAGTAAAGAAACGGACATTTCCTGAGCAATGAACTCCCTTCTTATAATTGGCATTTTAAAAACAACTTCTTAAAGTAGCTTTTACAGGTCATGAAACTTACCCATTTCCTTTGTAAAATGCAATCATTTTTACCAGTTTTACTGGGGAGTGCGATTATCACAATAAATTGATTTTAGATTCCCACAATTTATTCCCACAATAAAAATCTTTTGGCCCATTTATAAGTAAGGCTAATCTACTCACATGCCCTAGCCCCTGGCAACCACTATTCTACCTTCCATGTCTTTCTGTGTCTTTCAGTTTGCTTGTGTGTGTGTGTGTGTGTGTGTGTGTGTGTAAAGTGACAGAAGTTTATTAAGTGAAGATACAGAAAAAGCTCTCAAGAGGGAGAGGGGTTCCAACAGGGTTGCCAACAAGGGCTTTTAGGGTTAGTCATTTCTAGAAAGCTAACCAGGGAACTTAAGTTCTTTAAACATCTCTAGTGATAACACCTTCAATGGCTTACTTCCTTCTTAGGGTCTGGTTATTCTTTGTTGGTCACAGGTGATTATCATAAAGACACCCACCCCATACAACCCACCCCACATGCCTAGGTCAGGGTGGTCCTTCACCCCACACGTCCATTTACTTTTTGGCGACAGTTTCTATAAAGCACACACACAGTACATGGTGCCCTGTGTCTGGCTTCTTTCAGTTGGCGTAAAGTTCGAGTTTCATCCTTGTCATAGCATGTGTCTGAACCTCCTTCCTTTTCATGGCTGAGTAGTGTTCTCTGGTAGAATATACCATATTTTGACTATCCATTCACCAGCTGGTGAACCTTTAGGTTATTTCCATTCCCTGACTATTAATAACACTGCTATGAGCATCCATGAACATCCACGTGCTGGTCTTTGTGTGGACGTGTGTTTTCAGTTCTTTTAACAAACACCCAGGAGTGGAATTGCTAAGTCATATGGTATTTTTATGTTTAACCATTTGAGAAACTTCCAAACTTTTTCTAAAATGGCTGCAACGCATTGCATTCCCAACAACATTGTATGATGGTTCCCATTTCTCTAATCATTCTCAACATTTGTTGCTGTCTGTCATATTTATTTTAGCCACTCCAGTGGGTGAAATATGATATTTTGTTGTGGTTTTAATTTGCATTTCCCTAATGAATAATATGCTGAGCATCTTTCCATGTACTTATTGTCCATTGGTGTCCTCTTTGCGACAATATCATTCATATTCATGACCTATTTTTTATTGTGTTGTTCATCTTTTAATAATTGAGTTGGAAATATCCTTATAAATTCTACACTAGTACTTTATCAGGTTTGTGTTTTGTAAATAGCTTTCCCCCAATCTGTTGCTTGTCTTTTAAATTTTTTAGCAGTGTCTTTCAAAATGTGAAAGTTTTTAATTTTGATGAGACTCAATTTATCACATTTTTTTCCTTTGTTGGATGTCCTATCTAGAGAATCTTTGTCTAAGACCAGGTCTTGAACATGTGTTATAGTCTCTCACGAAAACTATTTTCAGGGTTCTTGGGTGGCTTAGTTGGTTAAGCGCCCCATCCTTGATCTCAGCTCATGTCATTATCTCCCGGTCGTGAGATCAAGCCCTGTGTCGAGCTCTGTGCTCAGCTCAGAGTCTGCTTGTCCTTTTCCCTCTGTTCCTCCCCCTGCTTGTGAGCGCTCCCTCTTTCTTTCTAAAATAAATAAATATTTTAAAAAATTGTTTGTTTCTACGTTTCAGCTTGTAATCGTGTTGAGTTAACTCTTGCGTATGGTGTGAGGTGACAGTCTAAGTCTTTCTTTTTGCACAAGGATATGAAATTGTTTGGGCACCTTTCAATGAAAAGACTACACTTTCCCACTAAACTAATTGTCTTGACACCTAAGTAAAACAATTGATTGACTGAAAATTTAAGGATTTATTTCTTGGGACAGAAGTATTTCCGTCCCAGTTTCCAGATGATGGAACTGAGGCTGGTCAGTGTTAGAACAGGCTCCCAGAAGTTAGATCTTCCTTGGTCTAATACCCATGCTCTTTCCTTCAAATAACTCCAAATATAGAAAACTATTATTTTAAAATTTCATAATATTTATAAAGAGCTTGGGAATCTGGGATTTGTCTTTAATAATGCCTTATTGAAAAGGATGCCAATTATCTTTCGATATGAGGGAAGATAATTTAGATATATAGACCTCCTCTTATTTTAGCCACTCATAATGTAAGAAATAGGGACTCTACTTCTTCATTCAATTATTCATATAACACATCTTTATTAAATGTCTACAATCTAGAGAATCCACTAATCTATTAATAACAGCTATTTATAACGTGTCCTTTATGGTCTTCTCAGGAAGAATCTCCCACTAATTGCTGCTCCCCATCTACTGGCAGACATCAATTCAATCACGTGTCCCCAGTTACTTACTCCCTTCCCTCCACCACAGCAGGGCAAGACCTCGAAGTCACAAAGACTCAGGTTGGGAACTCCACAAGAACTATAAAAAAGCGCCAGGCCTGAGGCAAAAACCTGTCTCACGTAGCCTGCTCTGTCAGGATTTGTTACTCCACATCTGTTCTCTCACGTCTTGGCTCTCTTCCTTTGGTTCCTGAGAAATCTTGGTTCCTGCACATTTCCTTTATCTCTTGACTACCTGGTTTACCCCACTTTTTATTTTGTGCTGTGTTTCGAATTTCCACTCTCTGCTTGATCTGTTCTGCCCTTCTCTACTGATCCATGTAATGAGCTCTCCTTTTGACCTGTACCCCTCCCTCAACCTCCTTAGCATGAGAAGCATTTCCGGTAGAAATTGCTTTCCTGATTCTAAATGCTCAGTTCAGCCTTGACCATCAAACACTTGGCTCTGACCTGGATCTGGCACGTGTCTGACTCCTCAGGATCTGTCTTCTGCTTTCATTTTCATGAAATGTTCCAAGTACTAGAGGGCAGTGACCATTAAGGATGTGGGCTCTGTGCTAAGATTGTCTGGGTTAAAACTCTATTTTATCCAATGTAGACTTTACTACCCACATAAGCTTTGGCAAATTACTCAGTCTTTCTGTGTCTTAACCTCATCCATGAAATAGGAGTAATAGCAATATAACTTCCGGGGTGGTGATTTGAATACAAGGAGTTAACATCCATGTTAAAATAGTGTCTGATACATAATAAGCTCTCAATAAATTTGAGCTATTCTTCTATTATGGCTACATCCACCCTTTGTAAACTGTCTTCCTGCCTCTGGTTTGCTCCCCCAAAATCCATTCTTCACCTCGCAGCCAGAGTAGTGTTCCTAAGACGTAAACGTGGAGTGTGGCTCGCTTTGCTTCAGATAAAATATGCACGCTTGACCTTGCTTACAAGGCCTCTCCTCGCCTCACTTTGACCCCTTCTTCCCAGTCTTCAGGGCCAATTCTTGCCAATGCTACAGTTATATTTTGCTTTGTTGCATTTTTAAAGTATTTTTATTTGCTTGTTTGTTTAGTATTGCATAGCCTCTTGCCTCCATGCTTTTACTCAGCCCATTTCCCCTGAAGGACACACGCCATATCTTACCCCTATACCCAGGTAACTTCTTATTATTATTCAATTCTTAATTATCAGTTCCTTCCCTGGGGACCTCCACTGATTCCCTAAAGCAACTTAGGAACCTCCTTTTGTGTTCCCATAGCACTTTGAATCCCCTTAACATGAAATTTATCATGCTGTATTGTAATTTTATGTATAGACACCTTTCTCTTTCACTAGACAGAAAATTATTTAGGTCACAGTTACCTCAATACTGTTCATAGTTTTACTTCTAATGCTTAACACAGTATTTAGGACAGGAAAAGCTTCCAGAAGCTCTGTGTTAGGCTTCTACACAGTTGACAGTTGTCTAACACTTTTGATAGGTGTTTTTAAGTGGAGGAAAGGCAATCCACAGATCAAAATCTGAGAATATTTATTTTCTTATATTAGAAATAGTATTAATGCATTTCTTGAGGCAGTTTTAGTTTTAAAAAGGATAGGACTAGAAAAGCCTGATTCATACCAAAAAAAAAAAAAATGGAAGATTTTAGAACTCTCTTATCCTTCCATGTATCGTCATAGAGCAAGTGGAAGACCTTTACATGAAAATAATCAAACACATGGCAGAGAGAAAAGTGCAATGTTGGCATTGACATAATACCATTTGAAGACTGACTTCTTCTCCTTTTGGATACCCAGATGGTGGTGTGTGAAATTACCACCTAGTATGGTGTCCATGGACGGTTTCATGGGAGTGTCCCCATGAATTTCATTTATCTGTCACTTTTGTTTACTGAAATTTATATACTTAACTAATTTGACTTGACATAATCAGGACACGACCATGAGAAACAAGATGACTTCTTTTAAATATTTCATTTAATAAGAACGTACTGGATGCAGTCTTCTGTTCCTTTTTATTAAGGAAGGAGATATGGACTAACCACCATTACTCACAGGGTTAGCATGAATTTATAATAAAATTCTCCAAGACATGTGCAATATCTACACTTTAACTAATGGGGATTGATTTAGAATTGTATCCATTTTTAACGACTTATAATGAATTTTCCTTTTGCATTGCTCCCAGTCATATATTAGCCTTTTAAGTGCCATACAACCTAAAAGAAATCTGTACACTATAACAACTTATGATGGTGTTTGTTCAGCCAAATGTGTTTTGGCTTTTCCACAACCTCTTGGATGCGACATGGCCTAATTCAACATGGCGGATTTCTCAGTGGCTTGGCTCCATTCCCTCTGAAAAATAAATGTAAAGTTTTGGAAGTCAACTAATTTCAACTGCACTTGTTCAGTGGAAAATTAAGGATTTATAAGAGACCTATCTTGTCTTTATAAAGCTGTGGTTTCAATGAGCTGAAAATCCAGTTCACTTAATGGCTCTTCTGCATTCACTTCAGTTCCCAGAGATCCGAAAGAAGTTTTTAAGAAAACCAAAGAAAATTCTCTTACTTCTCATTTTGGATTGTTTTAAAGGTAATACCTGAAGATACAGTATGAGCTCCTTCCTCATTGGGATCTTCTGTGGCATTATTAAGTCTTCCCTATGACACATCAGTTGTTCCTAATCAATAAAACATGATCTGCCAGAGAAGGAGGAAAAGAATGTGGTGTTTATAAACTGAAATGGCTTTTTTTATTGAGGAATGATTTACTCACATCTTGCCTTATAGAAATAGCCCATATTGGACTAAGCAAATATGTATTGCCCAAGAGAGTGAGAATAGTAGTTTACAATTTTTCTTAAGTATCCTGCATATTCAGCACATTTCCTGGCACAGCCCTATGTGGTTGGAACGTGGTAATTTCAATTATTATTGTTCATGTTATCACAAACATGGTCTCTTTTGACTTCCCTTGATCACTGACCGATTACACTCCCTCAAATATTGCTAAGCCATGTTAGGGAATCACAGATGAAACATCGCTCACTCTACTTCTTGAGAAAATTATCTCACCTGCTCTCCAGTGCTGACTGCCAGTGACCTCAGTCCTCTCTCAAGGTGTTATCTATAAGCAGGCAAAGAATTTTTCTCTAAGTTTGGAACGGTTTACAAGGTTGTGTGTGTGTGTGTGTGTGTGTGTGTGTGTGTGTGTGTGTGTTTTCTCTCTCTCTCTCTCTCTTTTTTTTTTTTTTTGCCCTATAATTGTAGTCTACAAATATAGACCTCAACCATCTGTTGATTCTGTTACTCATTTACAGGTGACATAAGGAGAAGTGAGACTAGCTAAGGATGGAAGATCCACAGAGCTCTACGACTTTACTCTTACTCATTCCTGGAGCCAAGGAATATGGCTTCTAGTTTTGAAGACCAGAAGGCGTGCTTCTTCCAAGAGAGTTTCTACCCCTGACCGAGCTGCCTTTCTGCCATGGTCTTAGATGTTAGTACCCATACTCATTCTAATTTGGAATGCACATCAATCATTTCTTGTGCCCAGGAGGGATAAAGGAAAGTTAGACACTAACAAAACAATAATTATTCTTGAGTTCCAGGAGACTTGAAGAACTATTCATTCATTCATTCATTCATTCATTTAATGAAGTTTTTGTGAGTGTGTGTACTCTGTCACTTCTGTGAACACTACGAAGGAAATCAAATCTTAGAAAGCATAACTCTCTTAAGAAGCTTACCATTTAGGAAAAGAGATGGATATAAGAAGGAAAATAAAAGAATTCTGTTTCTATCTTGGAGGTCTGTATGTATGAATTATAGTAGAAGTATAGGAAAAGAGACACCAACCTTCCTTTAGAAGGGAAGCAGGGAAGGCTTAATAAAGAAGAGAGCATTTGGGCTGAGCCCTGAGGGATGAATGTTTCCCAGGATGCAGGCAGAGGGGGCAGAATAATCAAAGACACGGGGCATGATGTGAAAGGGAAACCCTCTAGAAGATGCTAGTATATCACCGGAGGCCATTTCTTCCCATTAGTGACCCAGAGGACACAGAACTGTACCTTCCTAGAAGAGAAGGGGAGAACAGGCACAAGGGGCTGCTAATGCATCTTGCTGAGCAACTTTAGAATGTTCTGGCAGGCCAGTGGCCATGGAGCAGAACCCTAGATAGGAACCAAGCCCCCCTTCGACCTTCTCCTCACCTGATTTCAATCACAAACAAGGCAGCAACAGCCTGTGACTTATGTCATTCTGATTAGGCAGGCGAGATCTGTGGGTGTGATTCTGGAAGAAGTCTCAAATAAACACCCACGGCAGTTGGTCCTAGTTTGAATGTTGTACATTCACTCCTTCGTTAAACCAACTGTGCTCAGAAGCGTCTGCTTCATCTCTGGCTCATGTCCAGGCATTTCTGGGAGCCTTGAAGCTGAAATACTTTGCAAACTTCCTGAAGTTTTTAAAGGGGCACATCACTGGGGTGATTCAGAAGTTCTGATTCCTGTAAATGAGGTGGTAGTTCATTAGAAAACAAACTTTGTTTTTGTTGAAAGAAGGTAGTAATTCAGCAGATGAGCAACAATACCAGGCCCTCTGGCCACTTCAGTAGAGGCAGAAGAGTTTTTTAAAAATCACGGTAGCACCGCCTCTCCAGAAAGCAGGGACACATCAGCAGCACGAGGATACCTAATTTCTTGTCAGGCATTCCCTTAGGAGGCAATGAAACAGACGGAATATAGCATAGGGCATACTGAGTCCCTTTTGGAGGGTGAACCATTGACTAGTAGAGGTACAATTCCAGAATGCTAGGAAAATAATTTCAAGAAAATTTCATTTTGAAGGGGACTTATTAAGAAGCCCACTCCAGAGCAGATCTCCTTTTAAGAATCCTGAGGTCTTCTTGCCACTGTTCAGGGTCTTTTTCCCCACCTGTTAAAAGACCAACAACAGCAGAGTACAGAAAGAGAGGGTATGGCTTTTCAGACTAGGATTCGGTATTTCCCGTTCCCTTTCGTAACCTGCCTTTACGTCACAGAAATACCTATTTTTTGGAATCCATAAAACTTAGGAATATATACAACAGAGAGAACATGGTTTCAGTAAGTGGAAGAAGCCACTGTGGTTATTAAAGCTTTGTGATGACCTGTGAGGTCAAGGCATGGCCGTTCCGAGACCTTTCCTACAATGAGAAATGGTGCCCTGGGTTTGGAGGAGAAGCTGTCGAAGGAATTCCTCTAACCCCTGGAAAGAGGCTACAACTCCAGGAGGTCTTGATTAGAATATATATTTGCCATCAATGGCCCCATTTGATCTCATTTATTTTACATAAAGCAGTTGGAATTTGGGGGCCTTGGGATAAACATGCAAATCTATGCAAACCAGAAACCATGTCTATAAAATACACAGTGAAAACGTTTTCTGGATTGCATAGAAAAGCTCGCATAACCCAACCTCAGGCAGCTTGCAGAGAATGTACTCCAAAGGGGACTGTGTGTTCTAAAGCAGAACAGAGGGGAGATTCCAAGCTCCCTTTGTTTGGTGATAGTACTCCCACACTAAGAATCCCCTTTTCTCTGCACAAGTGGTGAGAATCTTGGGTTACAGCGTGGTTTCAAAGAGTAAGCAAAACTCATGGGCCTGTAGGTGGATATGTGGGTTCATTTATTGGTTCATTCATTTATTCAATAATATAGCAGATGCTTAGAGAGAGCTTGCTATGTGCTAGGTACCGCTTCTGTGCAATGGAAATACAGCAGTGGATTCTGCTTTATGGACTTTAGGTATCAGTTGTGTAGGGAAGGCCTGAAGTGTGAAATAATTCACAAAATGTATAATAACTCGGAATGTTATAAGTTCTAGGTAGGAAAAAGATGAAGCAATGAACGGGAAAAGAGAGTTTTGGGAGGGCCATTTTAAATAGAGTGGTTATAGATAGGGTAACTTTTGATGCAAAAAGTTGATAAGGTTGTGATTCATGAAACCATTTAAGGGAGACCATGCCAGATGGAGGGAGCAGCAAACATAAGGGCCTTGAGGGATGGGGCATCTGGGCGCCTAACAGTTAATTATCTGCCTAGGTTCAGGTCATGATCTCAGGGTCCTGGAATCAAGTCCTGCATCCGGCTCCCTGCTCAGCAGAGAACCTGCTTCTCCCTCTGCCTCTGCTGCTCCCCCTGCTTGTGCTCTCTCTCTGTCTGTCTCTCTCTCTCAAATAAATAAATAAAATCTTTACTTTTTTTTTTAAAGATTTTGTTTATTTTGCAGAGAGAGAGCACAAGCAGGGGGAGCAGCAGGCAGAGGGAGAAGCAGACTCCCCCCTGAGCAAAAAGCCTGATGCTGGACTCGATCCTGGGACCCTAGGATCATGACCTCAGCAGCTGCTTAACTGACTGAGCAACCCAGGGGTCCCAAATAAAATCTTAAAAAAAGGCGGGGGTGGGGGGGCTTGAGGGAGATATATGCTAGGCCACTCCAAAGGAGGAAAGAGAAAAGTAGTAGAAGATGAGGCAGGACAGGTGGTAAGGGGCTTTGGGATGTACATGTTACTGTGTTTTTCTAAGGGCTTTGAAGCTGTGCCTGTATGTGTTTATGTATATGTGGGGGGTGGGTGGGGAGGGGACACTTTCCAGCTACCCATTTAGGATTGCTGGCGTGAGACATTTGAAATAGGAAAGGAGCCTCAAGGTTAAATGTCAGGATATATCCTAGCATCAAAGTGTGTTGTCAAAGTGTGTCGAGGTTTATCAGCTGTCAAAGTGTGTCGAGGTTTATCAGGAATAGCATGATGCGTACGGCACCAGACGGAAGTCAAAAGTCATTTCTCTGATCAGATGCCTCCTTTTAATACCTTCTAGTACTACCTGTGCTTCGAAGCATCTTGAGGCCAGCGTCCTTGCCTGGCTTCTTTGTTTTTTCCGTAGCACCTTAAGAGACTTTTCTGGGAATAGAGACCTACAAATGTTTACTGAACGGATAAGTGAGCAAAATAATAATAAGAGGTAATCAGGGCTTGACAATATAGAACAACACAACTCTTACATGATAGGTAACACTAATCTGTATCACAAGTCTTCATCATGAAAAATTTACAGGATGCCACTTATAAAATCACATCCTTGAGTGAAAGAGGACTGGCGGACATAAGTGTTTCCACATCATCGGGATGCAAGCACAAGGAGAAAAGAACATTTTTTAAAAAATCACTTTTTCTTCTTAGGTAATGAATATAGAGTCAGTATCCAGCTCATCATTTCAAACTGCTGAGTCATTTGCCACTTGAAATGAATTGAGGGTTGTTAAAGGTTTTATAGAAGAATTCATTAAATATGTATTGAGCCAGCTTAAGATGGAAATTGTTATAAAAACTGGCAACAGCTCAAGCAGCAAAACGTTTCAGTTCATGATGGAGATATTTTACTCCCGCCTGGATTGTGTCCTCCATTAGTCCATTCAAACTGCAGAGGCTCGAGTCTCCTGTACGGGGCATGGTAATTGCTGCAACCGCTCGCAGGGCTGTTCTGAGAGCCAAGCAAAACATTGTGATTCCAGCCAGGTGTTCCCTCTCCCAGAAGACATGGCATTGAGTGAGATCTGTGCATTCACCTAAGCACTGACACCTCCGGGTTGCCCGGATTGGGGGGCTTTGGAACAAACACGCGCATGTGCATACGGGTCTGTACGCAGTCACCTTGCCGTGCCCGCGCCCCTGCACACACACAAACATAGGACGTGCAGGTTCTCTTGCTAGCTTGAGGTTCGGGAGGGGATGGAAAGTCAGAAGGGAGAACAGGATGATGGAAAGAACGTGTAGTTTAGAATGAAACAGAACTGGGTGCTGTCCCATTCCGCGGCTAACTGAGCAGAGTCAAGCTACCTAATCCAAGCTTTGTGAGCCCATTTTTTCATATGGTTTCAAAAATAATACCTACCCTTGTGCCTGGTACTTAGTGGGTACCAGTGTTTCTGCTCTAATGTTTTATATGTATTCCTGCTATTCCAAAAAGTCATGCTCTAAAAAATAACAAGATAAAGGGCGAGATAAAAATAGAGTTGAGAGCAGACTTTAAAATCTGTACAATTTGGTAAACAAAATGCTAACAAAAATCATAAAAGAATAACTCATAATTTTAGAATGGCAAAACTCCTCATAAATAAAACTTAAGGAAAAAAAAAAAAAAGATGATAGTAGCTTGACCCAAGGCAGTATAAAGAAGCTGAGCATGGAGACAAGGTCACGACGTATAAATACAGATAACCACCAGTAAAAAGCATGTGGTGAGGATGAGTTAAAAGCAAGAACATGGGATAAATGGGTGTTGGTACAATATTAGGTTTTTCTGCTGCTCGCTGTACTGTGCAGACTTACTGTAGTTTGTGTTCAGGTGTGGTTACTTGTTGACACAAATGGAATGAGCTGGAAAAAAAATTACTTATTAACCTGTAAGATTTCTGCATTTCACTGATGGCATTTCCTCATGTGAGTGAGCTAATTTGCATTACAAAAAAGATGGAGAGCACCGGTAGTATTTACTATGTATTTCTGAATGTAAGAGAAAGTACAGAATGGTGAGTACTTACGTCATGTAGATGATACAGGGGAAAGTACTGGCACAGTGTCTGACATGAAATATAGGATAAATATGTGTTTCTCTCAGAAGATAAAATCAGGGAAGGTGTAAGTGTTTAGAATCTTGTCCGAAAAAGGGACCAAGAAGCTGAGAATGCTCAGCGTTGCTAGTAATTCCAAGTGTCAGCTATGGGGCGGGAGGGATTGTTGGGAGAGAGTGGTTGTGATATAGAGAAAACTAGTGAGATCTTTCACATGCTGCAGAGGGAAAACCACAAATGCCAAATACCCCGATATCATCCTGATCTCTAGGACAAATGGCGACTTTTCATCTTGCCAAGAGATTTCTTGATTACAAATTTTAAAACAGTCTAACATGGAGGGGCATAATAAATCAGTGAAAAGCATTGTGTTGGGTTTTCACTCTGGGACTCTAAAGAAAACCGGTCTTACTTACACAGTCTCCTGTGATAGAACATGGCATGTTGCCATAGATTCGATGATCACTTAGAATTTAGCCTGGATCCCAGGATCGAATCCCGCATTGGGCTCCCTGTTCTGTAGGGAGTCTGCTTCTCCCTCTGACCCTCCCCCCTCCTGATGCCCTCTCTCTCATTCTCTCCCTTTCTCAAATAAATAAATAAGTAAAATCTTTTAAAAAAAGGATTCAGCCTTGAATTCTAGATTAAATTTACAATACTGCTGAGAGTAAATACGTTGGAAATTATATGATAATCTGTAGCTTATAAGGTGTATGAAAATATAAAGCTTATGAGATGTAAAGGGTTATTATGAAATCCCAGGTGTCTATGATGGTTGGATAGACTCCCAAATGTGCAAAGCTCTCTATACTCTGACTGGCCATGGACAACCCAGACACAAGCATTTTGAGATAAATTTCATACCATCAAATCTACTGACCCAGTTATG